GCCCCTGCTGCCCTCAGATCCGCTCGGAACGCGCTGGTCGCTGCCCCTGCCCGCACCCGCGGCACAAAACGCCCTTTTCGGACGGGAAAAGCGCGTCGGAATGAGCAGGGGGGCCCCGCGTGGTGCCGTCAGTGCCCCGGTGGCTTTGGGGTTCCCCCTGTGCCCGGCACCCCGGGAGGGCTCGGGGTGACATCGCCGCGAGGCAGGTTTGGTCTGTTCATTAAACAAGTGGTTGGAGGGCTTGGTTTTGCTGCAGAGCACTGGTGTCACAGGAACGTGCGTGGGGTGGAGAGGTGAAGCCCGGGCACGTCTCGTTTCACTCCCGTGTGCTTCAGACGAGACCGACGCCGGGGGTCGGGCAGCTCCTTTCCAGCCTCCCGGCGACGTTTCCCCAGCGCTTTTGCTTTACAACCCCCCCCCTACTCTGTGCAGCCACTTTGTAAACAAATCTTTGCTCATTTCCTTCGGCTGCTGCCCAGACTTTGCCGTTTAGAGGATGCTTTACCTTTTGGTCATAGATCATTGCTATCATTTACTTTTCAATCAGCACGCATCACTGCTATTTTTTTGCTCTCGGTTGCGAGTGGAAAGCGTGTGATGCAAGGGGCAGGACGTGGGGCAGCCCGGCTGGGGCTGCTGCCAGCCTTCCCAGCCCTTGCACTTTCACCCTGCAGCTCAGCCCGGAACACCAGCACCATCCTCTGCTCCTTCCAGGTCTCCGTTGAGGTTCGGTGCTGATTGTGTTTAAATTGCAAGTCGGTGACTTTACAGAGAGTGGACTTGGTCCAGCTGAAGCAGAATCCTAATTTTGTCCCAGAAGAATTGCAGTGTGGTTAGTGAATAATTTGTATACATCAGCAGTAGGTCATCCTAGATGTTTAAGGGAACGGTGCACGAAAGCCTGGAATCACATGATCCTCCTGACATAGGAAAAGGCACATATTAGGTATTCATGTATTTACATGCATAAGTGTTAAAAAAACCAGTGTCCTTGGTCGCAGGCTGGAAGCAGAGGGTGGCTGTGGAGCTGTGGGTCACTGCAGGTCCTCACTACCCGAGGGTCTGGGAACTGTTGCTCAGTCTTGCCAAGTGTGAAAGGGGGATGTTTTGTGCCTGTATGACGAGGTGGCCTGAGCCAGACTGACTAGGAAATGTTGGTCATGCCCAGTGAAACAGGGCATGGAAGGGGATGCACAGCATGCACAGCACCACAGGGGAAGGGCCTGCCTTTGTATGTGTGTTTTACACTGATTTCATTCTGTCTCATGAAGCTCCTGTTGGTGCTGTTGGATAATCAGCCCTGACTTGGCAAGTGACATGTTACCTTTTAACAAGGTGCATGGGAAAATGTAAATCCAGCAAATGTTTGAAGGGTGCAGAACCAGCAACTGAGGGGGAAACCCGACCTGATGGTGCAGCTAAGGAGTTACCCCTAAAATGGTGACCCAAAGCCAACCCTGCTACGATTTGGAGGACCCTGGGGACACAGGCAGCTCATGCTGCCTCAAGTTTTCAATTATTATAAATAACCAATGTGCAAACCAAGAAACAGGGCAGAGCTTCTTCTTGGGAAGCAGCACTTTTTGCAGCTGAAAAAAATGGTCAGCAGAGTTCACATTCCACCCTGCCCCACTGGGGGTGCAAGGTGAGCTCCACTGGGGCAGGTAACTTGTGCACATGCCAGCTGCAGTGGAACCGAAAGGATTCTTCAGCTTTGGAAAATCAGGGAGATAAGACAGTGCTGTTATTCTGAAGGCTGCCCCTCCCCACTGGTTTAGGGGTTATTACGTGTTGGAACAGGAAATTTTCTAAAAACAGTTTCCTGTGGCAGGGTTCACCACCAGGTGGAGATTTAATTCATCAACTAGCACGTCCTCTTTTTTTCTTTTTCTTTTTTTTTTTTTAACATATAAACTGTCTTTGCAAAAAGATCAGAAGTATTTTTACTTCTGTGACAGTTATTTGAGGTAGAACCTTCGGTGCAGATGAGAGAGAGCAGCCTGTGGAACAGAGCAGACTCCTCAGCCTCCACATTTTCACACTGGCTGAGATTTGTAGAGGAGGTGATTCCCTGGGTGCTGTGTGTTGCTGTTGCTATTTTCAGTTTAATGACGTAGGAAAGGTTACATCTAGAATATATATCCAATTCAGAGCTCTTGGCTGGTTCCAAGAGGTGACTGGTTCCCTAAGGCTAGGGACTGGGTTGACATGCTCCAGTAATGCCACTAACTGGAGGGGAGATGGAGCAGCAGCAGGGAAAGTGTTGGCCCCTGGCACTGGTGCTACGTTGTTTCTTCATCTCCTGAAAATCCAAGGCAAATGCTGTTGTTCTAATAATAATAATAAAGATTCCTCTGAGATGGCATTTCTGGGGGAGGGAGATGGAGGCTTTGCACAGCCCATGATGTGTCCTTCTTGCAAAGTGTGTGCAGCCTTTAAGCACAGTTTTCAAGGCAACAAAATCTTTCCAGCAAATGCATTGCTGCCCACTGCCCCCAATTACTTTCATTTCTTTTATCTGTAGCTATGGTTCAGTGAGACAAAAAGCAGTGAGTTCCTCAGTTCTCATAAATAATATTTGCACTCCTGAAGTGAAATTTGGCTTTACCATTCTGGGACATTTCTTAACAACTGCACATGAAATTGTAACTCTATACACAGAGGAAAATAAGCTAATACTGATTTATTTATTTATTTCCCCCCCTAAAAAAGTAGGTAGAAACCCATATGACCCAGTTTTGACAACTTCTCAGGGAACAGAAGGATTCCCTGAGTATTACTGCCCTCTTTTGCTGGATGTTAGTCTCTTATTGCATGACATGATGAATGATGATAGGCAGCTCATTTTTGCTCTTCTTACTGTTTGGATGGTACCCTGTTTGAGAACAAGCTCTATTGTCTGTAATATTGCCACGTTATATAATAATAAATTACCTCCCCAAATTGATTTAAAAATCAAACGGGAAGAGTTTTTAATGCATTTGTGCTTGTTTGTTGTTTTCTGGCTGTCATCTCTTTCTGTATGGGCTAAGAACTTCAGATTCTCAGCTGGCACGTGAGTTCATTCTTATTTGCATCATATTTGGTGGAAATAACAGAATAATCTACCTTTAAGTTGCAGAGCTGTTGAAATTGTGAGAGTGAGAGAAACGATTTTGTTGCATATCTTAAAATATCCCTGGGAAGACTGATAAGAACAGCCATGCAGCAAAGGTATCTACCCCATCTGCTCCACAGGACACCTGGTGTTTGTGACACATGCACAGAAGAAGCCCCATTTTCCCCTATCCATTATTTGCATTTGCAGATTTCTAATCAAAAGACAAAATCATCCAACCAGTAGGATGCATAGTATCTGTGCATTGTGGGCATTTGCATGGGCAAAGCAGGGACTCCTTGTCAGCTGGTTCAAAGGAGCCAACAGAATTCAGATCAGTGGGGCTCCTTGCACTTCACTCACCAGTGAATTTATCCTCCAGCCTTTTAAATATCTTTCAAGTGTTTTCCCTTCCTTTGTCATTGTGGGCGTCTCATCCTCCTGTTTAATGGTGCAGTAATTTCCTGGCAAGAAAGCCAGTTTTATTTCTTCAGCTTGTACCTCCCTGCTCTTTTATTGCAAAATGTGAACTTTGCTATCACAGAAAGTTGTCGTGTGCTGCATCCCAAGCAAAACCACACTGCAAGGCTGATGGGTACAAAGATAGGGTAACAATTCTGGAGGTTCTGGAAATGTTCTTGAAAACCTAAGGGCTTGAGGAGGAAGTTGATGTCCTTGAGCTGCTTTTGCTGCTTTCTACTCATCAGAAATGTGTTAATAGAAGTGTTTGGTGATGCAGTTGCTTTGAACTTTCATGCCATCACCTGCTGGTCTGTCTGGCCAGGCAACTGGGCTGCCAGTGCTCTGTCACTTTATTCTGTGTCCTCATGGAGTCACCTGGGTCCCAGTTCCATTGGCATCTGTAGGTTTTGGTGGAAAACAAAACTACACCATTACCTGAATTTAAAACAAAGGAGGTTTATTTGTTTTTCCAGGAAAACTAAAGTAAAAAGGTACCTCATTTGTGGAGGTTCTAGACTACTGCATTTTTGGTGGTTGTGTCTGGAACACAAAATAAATTTGTTCCAGCCCCAAATAAGTATGAATCTGGAGTACATGAGACCTGGGACCTGGCCTGCCCTGCACTCAACACAAACCCATGGACAGTGATTGCCAAGGAACACTTGTGCACAGGCTCTGGCTGTGAGCACAGACCTGCTCCAGGGACACGAGGAGCATGAGCTGGCAGGTCAGTGAAATGGCATAACCATGGGCATTGATCATTCCTTAGGAAAATGGGAATATACTTTATTATTCAAATCAGTTTGGGTTGGTTGTGAGTTTTTTTCCCCTTCCTGAAATTAAAAAAAAAAAAAGTACAAAAGACAGGGAAGGGGCATGAAAAGCAACGGCTGATTTAGGCAAGACCTAAGCAGGTTTGAGCCCCATATTTGTTTATTTTCTCCTTTTCACAGAAGCTCACCTTTGCCCTCTAGCTTCTGAAGAAAACACATACATCCACTGCTTGTGTTTTGTTTGAAAGCCAACAGGAGTTTTGGGGGATGCTTCCCAACATGGAAGATTGTAATTTCTGTCGTTAACATCTCTGTGAAATAACCCTTCCCATGCCTCTGTTTTTATGAATGTCTCAGAGTTCTTATTTTAATCCTCCAACATTCTTGATGGGTTCACTTAGAAGTCAAAGGCAGGAGTGAAACTAAAGTCAAAAGAGTGACTTGACATCAAAGCTGTGCACTTCTTGGTACTCAGTAAACACCCATTTGTCACAAAACCAGAGAGAAAAAGGGCACAAGAATTGCTCATTGACAACAGCTAAAATTGGAATCTCCACCTTATCCAAGGCAAGGCTGAGCTCTGCTTTGCAAGGTGACTAGACACTGAATCCACATTATTTTAGATGAAAATGAATGGATAAAGCCTGAGCAGAATGGCTTCCAGATCTGGGTGTTTTGTTTTTCTCATGAAATGTATTGGACAATACTGTTCTTTTCCTCATTTGCAAACTTGGTAGTCACAAATTCAGTCCTGCCTGACTAGTTCCTGAAAAACAAGCCCTAAATGACTTAAGCTCAGCTTGGAGCACTCTAGGATGAGCTTTTTCCAAGGAGTGTAGGCAAGTGGAGTATGAAACACAG